CCGCAGCTCCCAGACAGCGTGCAGCACCCTGCCAAGCCCATGTGATGTGACAAGTGCCACTCAGGTGCCGCAACATGGGTGGGCTCTGCCACAAGCGCCCAGCGGCCCTGTCACTGCTGCTGCAGGAGGTGAGTGCGGGGCTTTTTTTTCTTTTCTTTCTTAAAGTGCTGGGACTTGGCTGGGGCTGGGAGGGGGATGGGGCCAGGCAGGGCCACCATGGGGCCTTTTCCTATGGCTCCCCTGCCCCGGGAGAGGCAGGCACAGTCAAAGGAGTCGTGGGAGAACCTGAGGCCACCTGGATGTGCCTGCTCTTCCCTGGCTGATCCGAATGTGTCCGAATCAGCACCAAATCTTCCGAAGTTGATTTGGCCAAATCATTTAGTACAGTGATCCGCATCTCTGAATCGAATTTCTGTCCTCCGAATCAGCCAAATCCAAAATGAATACTTCCCTATTCACACAGGCCAACTGGTCAGCATTTTTACTGTGCAGGGTAAGAGTGGGCAGACTGGCCGTACCACAGGTGTACAGGGAAACAAGGGGACTGCAACCCACTGCTGTCCCTGTGACAAACAAATGATGAAAGCGGTGACAAAATAATGTTCCCCAGTTCTGAGCTGTCCAGTGCTGAGCACAGGGAGAAAAATGGAGCCTTTGTGATTTCTCATTGCTCAGGGGAAAAAAAATCAGTTAATTACAGTTAATTAATTTCTGCAGAGCTTACCATCTCAATGTCTGCTGCATATGCTCAGGCCTTTGATGTATAAGGATGGCTATTTTCTATGGAAAGATTTAAATAACACACATTAAATTCACTAGACTTGGCTCTGTCAGTTTACTGATTCTTCCTCTCATGTCTGTACACCACATTTGATCATTTTGTTACATGTGCTTGTGCTTGTTTATTGAACTTTGTTGGATCTTTCATTGTACATGTGCCTTCAAGCAGATGGTATTGCAGCAGGTCTTGCATCACTTGAGGCTCTGTGCCAGTTACAGGTGGGTCAAACAATGATCTGGCCCCACTTCTTCATTAGTTCCTTGGAGCATCTGACTCCCGTGTAGAGGCAGCTGAGACATTGCTACCTTTGCCATCATAGTAAGGATTCAGCCACTGAAATGTCCGTTTTTTCATCATTATTGATTTTTTTCAGCCTCTCGTTCTACATCTGTAGTCATGTCTCTTTAGGTGTAGCATCGAGAGGTTGGATGCTGGTCCTGCATGACTTCAGTCTTGTGTGCTGCAGGATAGTCATACAGCAAGTGTCTCACATCTTTAGTTTGTCTCAATCCTTGTATCCTGCTGGCCACTGCTCTTCTGATGTCAGGCAGAGCAATGCTAGCTAGCAGGTACCCACTGCTTAGGCTGGTAGGCTTCGAACATCCTGAGATGCATCAGCAGCTATCGTTCAGGATGAGCTCAAGCACTTAGCATGCATGGCTCTCTCTCATACAGGGCATGAATACTCAGCAGAGGAGAAGCCGAGAGCCAGGGCAGCGGTTTGGATGGTTGAGGAGTTAGCTCCCGATTTCGAGTTGGTAAACTTCTACAGGATGTTATTCTAAGAGCTCACCTTTGGTTTTGTCTTCATGATGTGGTCTTCTTATGAGAGTATTCAATTGAGGGCAACTCCAAGGTGAACTGGTTTTGGACAGTGGGATCCCGGACCATGTGATTTTGAGCTCGTAGTTGGCCTCATGGTTTTTCATATGGAAGGCACATACTTATATTTTCAGTGGGTTGGTGTGCGATTGGTTTTCAATGTAGCATAAGGTAAGGCCAGCTAGTGCCTCGCTTAGGGATTTTTCAACATGGTCAAAGCCAGTCTTGGGCTCTTATGCGCAGGTCACCTGCATAGATGACAAGTTTTATTTCCAAAACAATTGGTCGGTCATCTGTATAGATGTTGTATAACAGTGGTGTAAGTACACTTCCTTGGGGGAGGCCGTTGATTTGATGAATATTGTTGAAGTGAGATCCGCATGACTCCCTGTGACAGTTACTTGTATCCTGTAGAGGATTTGCTTAGTTATTATTTGTGTAATTTTAAACTGTGCACAGTGTTTTCTATTTTTGTGTTTCCTCTCTTCACGGTGTGCAGCCGGAATTGCCAAGGCTCTAGTTAATAAGTTACAGGCTGCCATCTCTTGGACATAGTGTAGAAGTTCATCATTAAGTGTCTGGATGTGATAGTCTAACACTAAGGTTAACCACCTTTCCAAACATGTCCCTTGTCTACCACGTGTTTAAATGATATGTTAATTAAAATGTGGGGGTTCATTTATTAATTTCCTTGACCTATACCTGACATTCTAGCTATAAAAATATGGCCCATATCAGCTCAGGTCACGTTCGCCTGCTACTGTGATTTACAGTAGATGGTACCCCTTCCGACTGTCAATCCTGAATGTTGGGTGGCAGTTAAATAACTTGGCAACTTCTAGGGTGCCAATGACTTCAGGCAGAAGAGAAGCTTAGAGGGGAGGTGGTACTAGTCTTACCCCCGGCACAGGAAATATCAGCAAAAGGTTGTGCAGGTGAGATTCACTCCATGATACGGTAGACTGGGCTGTTTAGTCCAGTCATCTGGGACCTCTCATGATCACCATGAGTTTTCAAAGGTGATGGCCAGTGGCTCTTGGTACATAAAGAAAAAAAAATGTCAGCCACATGCATGCACAAATGTAGTCTGTTTTATTTCATCACTGACTCAGACCTCAGAAACAGGTTTTTGTATGGGTCTGTATCAGAGAGTAATTATAGCTGTGTTGGCAATAATAATCTCCAGCAGCTTCAACAATTCTGGTGGTGAGTGAGAGTATCATCAGTGCTAGACTTGCTGCCACTGAACCAGTCTGAGACTCCAGTGAAGAGTTGGAAGCCTAATAAATAGGAAGTTTAGGAGCTTGTCTGGGTTTCTGGTGGTACCAGTGTAAGTAGATATAACAGCCTGGGATGGCTGAGCTGGCTTTGCACTCGATGGTGACTGTGTCTCTTGGAGTTACCACCCAGGGATCTGGAATCTGAGCCATCAAAACACACACGCTAGAACCTGAATTTCCAAAGAGACTATAAGTTAATACTCATACATATGAAGGCAGTGAAATTAGTTGATGCTGAGCCTGTACAATATTCCCATGTGTGTCTTTACATCATTGCTATAGCAATATCACTCTGCAGCAGTGATATTAGTCCTGAGCTTGGGATGGCCTTTCATGCTAACTCCTATCTCTACAGTACATCATTTTATGTTTTTTCCCGCTTTATGTTGGTTGAAATGACAGAGATTTTGCAATTATTAGTGTAAATCTCTGAAGAGCTATTGTTAATAAGCTATTTAATGTTTATGTGCCCACAACACCCCATGCAATTGAGCTCAGTCTTACCAGATGCTGTACAAATACTCAATGTCCCAAAGATATTATAAAGTAAGTGGGATTTTTGTAGACTGTGGCTAAGCCTTTTTGGTACAAATCTAACCTTGGATCCAGAGCACCAAAAGCCAGAAGAGCTGAGCTTGCAAGATCATCTTGATACAGCTCCCTGGCTTGATGGTGATCAACAGACTGTAGCAAGTGCAGCAGAGCATTTATATTGGCTCACGGCAATCTGGAGAATGTCAGAAGTGAAATATGCAGAATGGGCTAATATAAATATTCACACCTGGTCTTTAAATATGTATAAAAAAGAAAGTGAAGGCCTCCTCTTGGTTGAGTTCACTCTGGATGCAGAGCCTTGGCAGCCAAATGAAGTGAGGCTGAGAGAGGCTTTTGAGCCTCTGGATGTGTCTGAGCTGTCCAGTGCTTATTAGTAAGCCAGACAAGGTTCTTTGGGTAAATCCAGTATCTTTTATTAGACCAACTCAAATGAGATCAAATTAGAGCAGTAAGCCATGAACATAACAGTGCCTAGCAGCGGGAAGCGATCAGTCGTTCTGAGCATTGAAAAGTCATGTGCCTCGCCGTGTGCTGCAGAGACACAGGCCTTAGATGGAGACAGATTCTGCTATGGATGGACATGTCGACTCCCATTGAAGTCCGTGGACTTGACTGGTCTCAGCTTAACTGGTTAATCAGTTACTCCTGTGTCGATGAAACCAGAGTTCAGCCTAATCCAAGTGCTTCACTTGTGCTGAAGCAGAACAGTGTTCACAGAAGAGCCTAGGAACCCGTCACATTCAGAGCTTGCTCTTACAGCTGGGCAGCAGCCTCTTCTGATTTATTCTTCAGGCTACATGTCTGGTTAAAGGTGAATTTTGCATCCCCTGTCAAATTCACAGAAACCAATCGCATCAGCCTCCAAAACTTCTGGGAGGCTGGCTGCTGAGCTGTTGCACTTCTCAGAAGAAGCTACGTTCAGATTTGCACAATGTGTTTAATGCTCTGTTGAGCAGGTTTGAAATAATAGGGTGCGTATCAAATAAAGAGAACAATCTCCACTCCTCAAAACCGAGGCAGATTAGTCAGCAGTCCTGATTCTTGCTCACATGTGACACAGGCAGAGATGGAAACACACAATAGTAAAGAACAGCATGGGCATGGGAAACAGTTCTCCAGAAGTGATTAGGCAGTCCACTGAAAGAGCAGACCAGAGACATGAATTTTGATGTTTTTCAAAGAATAACAACTGGGTGATGGGGTCTCTTGGAGGAGAAAAACACGTCCGTACAAGAGCAACCCAGGCTGTTCCTGTAGTACTGCTGCTGACTGACAGCCTCACAGGTGGTTGCAAGACCCAATCCAGTTAATGCAGGTAGAACGGAGCCTGCAGTGTTTGGACCTATTTCTCTATGATGCTTGGTGGCGTTTTGTTGCTGCAAGTCGGATAGTTGGGGAAGGCATGCAACTTTCAACAGGAAATGTGTCTGCTGAGCACTCTCCCATGATGCTTTTTGTGGGCTCCACTGTATTTTCTTGGAGTATAGAATCAACCCTGCTGATTTGTGACTTAGATGGTTACTAAGCCGCAGCCACTGAGCTAGTCTGAAGTGCAGGTAGGCTCACTGCAAAGGAGAAGCGGAGGAGCTTGTCCTGCCTCGCTGTTGGTAGCAGGCTGCTTCTTCTAAGACATGCTGTGGTTGATAATAGCTGCCCTGTCCGTACTGCACTCCCTCCTCCACCATGGGGGTCTTGGTCTGCCCCCCACCCAAAGCCTGTACAGCTGGGCTGGTATCTCCTGCAGGCTGGGCCACAGAGGAAGTGTGACGGTATCTGTGTCTCAGACAGTGATGTCCTGTGGAAACCCCTGAGCTGGTACTGAGTATAGCAGTTGTGTCGATCACGTGTCTCTTCAGCAAGCAGTTGTGGTGCTGGGCTGGGCAGCATGGCAGGTTTTTGTATGGGATTGTATCACTGTGTGAAGTGTGGGTCTGCTGACAATAATAATCTCCGGCATCTTCAGCTTCAACACTGCTGATGGTGAGAGTGAAATCAGTGCCAGAGCCACTGCCGCTGAACCGGGCTGGCAGCCCTGACTGCTGTGTGGAAGCACGATAGATGAGGAGCTTTGGAGCTTGTCCAGGTTTCTGCTGGTACCAGGCTAAGACCTGATAGCTACTATAAGTAAAGCTGGAGCTGGCTTTGCACTTGATGGTCACTTGATCTCCTGGAGACACCGCCAGGGACTCTGGGGTCTGAGTCACCACAACCTGCCCGGAGGAACCTAGAATTAGAAAAAAACCAAATACCGTCCCTCCCCAAATTAACATAGTGCCTCTAGCATCCAAGTAACCAGTCTGACTAGACAATCTGGATGCTTTAGCAATGTTCCTTGTGCGCATTATTACAGAATTAAGTGAGTTTGTCTCCTGGCTGAAATGCTAACACACAGCCAGAAGTGCTTCTTTGCTTGCAGCCCTTTCTTCATTGCTCATCTAGGTTACAGCCTCAGCCCCCAGAAATCCCCAGAAAAACTTCTGGTCACTCCAATGGGCTTTGGATCTTGGTATTAGGGATTAAGTAAATCATTTGTCGCGATTGCAGTCCCTACCTGCCAAGGCAAAGCATTTCTTGGATCATTTTAATGCATCAGAGAAACAATTCCTTGGGCTCTTTCCTTCTGGAAAAAGGATGGTTTTGCTATACTGATGCAACTTCTCTCTCAGTTTGCTGCTTACCCTGGACCCAGAGCACCACAAGGCAGAGCAGGGGAGGCAGTGAGACCATCTTGGTACGTGTGCCTGGCCTGCACTGATCACCAGGCTGTCCCTAGTGTCCTGGAGCACTTATACGGGCTCTGAGCATCAGGAGGCCATTGACGGAGCGTCAAACATACAAATTTGGCTCAGAGATGATTTGCAAGTGATCCAAAAATAAGCTGTGAAAGGCAGGTGGTGTTGAAGGGGGCAGACACAGCAGGTTCACGGAGCTCCTTCACTTCGTGCTGAGCTGGTATTTGTCACAAGTCGGTGGGAAGAGGGTTGTGAACTCGTACTTGTTTGGGCGTCAATGTGTTTAATTCCTATTAGACATGTCCTGCTGGACACAGTGTCACTAGGGTGATGTTCCTGTGTTAGGGGAGCCATAGGGGAAGTGACTTCCTCACTCCTTGCTCTTTTTCTTCAGCCTAGAAATCTTGCATAACGTAAAGAAAAGAGGAAGCTCCTGAACTTGGCCCTTCTCGAGAATTTTCCAGCCATATTGAGCACTGTTCACCTGGAAGACCCTTTCATTGCACATGGTCTCTTTTTTTCTCTTTTTTTTTGATTCTCCCAGAAAGCATCTCCCAGGTGAAAAAGCAAGGCAAATGGGGCTTTCATGTTAGAGCATCTTTTTCGATGATTTAGCTGGGAGTCATGAATGCTCTGAATAAAGGGGCAAGAGGTGATCACCCACAGCATTTTTTTATTCCAGCCCAGCAGGAAGGAGTCATGAATCATACTAGTAACACCAAGTCTAGTAACTAATCCATGATGATCTGGAATGATACAATTTCCCAGGCACCACAACTATACGGGACAGAATATAAATACCAACCCCTTCCACATTGTCATGAAAACTCCTTTATTAGACTAGAGATTTCTCCACCCCTTACCCATCTGGAGCACCTGCTCACTGGGAACTGTACCGTTGACTGGAGCATAGTGGGCTGATGGGAGATCTCTGACTCTCCAAGTGAGTGTGCAAGAAGGACATGATACATGTTGTGTAACAGCTGCACAAATGAAATGACTGTTTAGAAAGTGAACTGAGCAGTGCAGCCCCATTTCCTCATGGTGTGTCCCTGTGAGCAACAGATGATGACAGTGATGACAGGAATGTTCCCCAGCATCTGAGCTGTGCAGTGTTGAGCACAGAGCAAAATGGAGCCGTTGTGATTCCTCGATGCCAAAGGGAAGAAAATCAGTCAGTTATGTCACTGCAGATTATGTCATCTCAGCAACTGCTGTATAAGGACTGGTGTTTTCTATGGAGAGATTTAAATACTGCACATTACAGTCACTAGACTTAAATCTGATCTCAGTTTACTCGTTAACATTGTTGAAGTGAGATCTGCATATCACCCCAGGACAGTTGCTGGTATCCTGCAAAGGAGTTGCATAGTTAGACCGTGCAAAATGTTTTCTATTTTTGTGTTTCCTGTCTTGATGGTGTGCCGCCAGCATTGCCAATGCCCCAGTTAATAAGGTAGAGGCTGCCATCTCTTGACCATAGTGTAGAAGTTGATTATCATCTGGTGTGCTAGTTTAACCCTAAGGTTAACCACCTTTTCCAACATGTACCTAGTCTAACAGGTGTGTTTAATTGATGTGTTAATTAAAATGTGGGGTTCATTAATTTATCTCCCTGATGTATACCTGACATCCTAGCTATAAAGATATGGAAAACATCAAATCAGGCCTTTTTCTCTTGCTACTGTAATTTATAGTAGACGATACCACCTGCCACTGTTAACCCCGAACGCTGGGTGGCAGTTGTATAACCTGGCCACCTCTAGGGTGCCAGTGGCTTTGGGGAGAAGAGCAGCTTGGAGGGAAGTGCTAGTTTTATCCCTGGCAGAGGGAATGCAACCAAAAAGTTGTGGAAATGGGGTCCACTCCATGATCAAGTAGACTGGGCTCTTGAACCTTGGTCAGAAGCCAGTCCAGGAGCAGAGTCCTGTCCACACTTGCGAAGGGGATGTTTTTAAAACATGCAAATGGATATTAAGCTTGGGGCATAGGTGAAATCAGTGGAGAAGTCCGTGTTCACTGCAGAGAACCAGTGTGCTCAGACTGCAAGTAGTCTTGTGTCAAATGCGTTAGCTGTCCTAGAGTGCTATTATCATGTATATCATTGTGAGTCCTAGGATCTAAATCATGGGCTAGGACTCCATTGTGTTGGGGGAAGTGTATGACCATGGATCATATAGACAGGACTTGTCGGAAAAAACCCGACCCTTGAAGTATAAGACAAGGGGCAAGAGGGATGCACACAGATGAATGAAGGAGGAGACGGGATCACCATGATGATAGTAGCTAGCCTAATGGGAAGAAGTATTGGCAGGCTTACCAAAGTGCTGTTTGTGTGGAGTCATTGGATGGGGGCTTCTCCTGAGAGTGAAGGGCAACTGAGAGGAGAACAGGAAGGGAAGAGCCGAGGTAGAGCGCGCCCAGAGGTGGAGCTGCTGAACGGATGGAGAGAAAGTGGAGGAACCAGCTGTGAACTGCATGGACAGGTTTTTGTTGTGGTCTGTGTGAAGACTGTTGTGGGTCTGGAAACAGTAATAATCTCCAGCATGTTTGGATTCAACACCGCTGCTGGTGAGAAAGAAGTCTGCTCCAGACCCTCTGACACTGAACCGGGCTGGGAGTCGTGATTGCAGAGGAGGAGATGCAGATGGCAGACAGAGGAGGAGTTTAGGAGCTCGTCCAGGTCTCTGCTGGTACCAGGCTAAGCATTCATTTCCTGAGTCGGTAAGGCTGGAGCTGGCTTTGCACAGGATCAGGGCTGCTTTGTGGTAGATACCAGCCAAGCCCACAGGAGCACATGCTCCTTGTTTTGCATTTTGTATTTTAATGGCATTTTCCAACTGTAAGTGGGTTGAAGATGGGTAGGTGTCAGGTTTGACTGGGAGCATTGGTCCCAGGTCATTACCAATGCCTGGATGCTAGTTTGAAGGTAATCTACTTAGTCTCACTATTGCATATAAAATCTCCCTGTGATGCCATGAATATTTTGATTTCCCCTGTTGGAGCCATTAGGAGCACCTCTTTATGATCTAAGAAGCATTGTCTGCCTCTCTTGAGGATCTGCTCAGAAACCCTGTATAATAAGAGACGCATTGTTGTAACCTTAGCTGTTAATCTCCGACAATACATAGTCTTGGCCTGAGCATGGGGTAATGGTTTCTGAACTTGCTGGCCTGAGGTTTGATGCCAAATTCCATGTTTAAACACCTAAAATTGGCCTGATTTTGGTACCAAGGCCAGCCAGAAGGAAGTACAGAATAAGGAGACTTGTCTGAAATACTAAATACTACACACGTGTAGGCTTACCTCCCAGAATTAGGAAGCAGGTGACTAAACCCTGCCATCACAAGTTGGGTATATATTGGCAGTAATAATCCCTACAAACTCAGCCTGAACCCTGTTGATTGTGAGATGAACTCAGTTTCCGATCCACTGCTATGGGCTGGGGCTGGTGCGGGGAGAAGCCCGGTTGATAGGAAGTTTTGGGCATATCCAGATTTCTGGTTCAGAGTTAGTAGCATTTATACCAGAAGACAACTTCTGCAATCTTCTTGCTATGGTGAGCTCCCTGAGGTAGGGGAGCTATATGTGAAAGTTTCTGTCTTCCTTCCTTTTGCTCTTACTGGAGTTCCCATTTCGGGAGTCTTTCTGTTACCCAGAGAATGGACAAATGTTCTTGACCAAGTCTTTACTAAAGGCTGGAAATCTGTTTGTAAATAAGGTTCTTCATGAAAAAGTAGCAAAAAGATGGTTCTTTTCTTTATACCTCTTGCCCAGCATCTGTTCCTTTGATAAATAAGTTGGAAAAAACCTCAATGTTTCCTGATCAGAACTTTTTTTTCCCCATGGATTTCTATGGGGTTTGGGATGTTGTCCACCTCTGACCACATGGGAAACGCATAACTACCCATTTGGGATTTGGTTATCTCAAGCTAAGAATCTGGGAATGAGTCGTGATCCTACACACCTGGTGTTTACCACAAGCTGCTGAGGGTCTAAAAAGGACAGTCTCAAATCCAAAGGGAAGTCTTGTGGTACCATCTCATGGCTCAGAGCTAGAAGCTGATATACGTGTTTACAGAAGGTTTAGAGCTGACTGGACTGTTTCTGAAACAGGACAAACTTGGTATAACCATTTCTGTATTTTCCAATCGCTATGCCAATATTTCCTAACTTATTTGCTTTATACTCACACCACTTTTCCCTGCTGGGGGGAAAAAAATTGGGGGAATTTTGTTTTTCATGGAACCCTTCTGATTTTGTTTTTTAATGGAGAAAGAGGATATTTCATACAAAAAATTACACAATTCATATGTTCTTTTAAATTTTGAATAGGATTTTTCTTTGGAACGGGTGTGATGTTTTTTTCTTAATGGAGAAAGAAGATATTTTCTAGACAAACGTTACTGAGTTCATATATTCTCACCTGTTCTGAACTGTTTCCTGAATTTAGGAGTACCGGTGGCTTCTGTGCAGTCCTGTGGGGTGCGCAGTAGTGGGACTTTCACCAGGAAGCGGAGGTGGCTTTGGTTTCTCTGGTGTTTTAGTCGTTAGGAAGGTGTTTATGGATCTCTCCCTTGGAATAAGGTCTGCAATTCTGTTTTGCTATCGGACCCTACAGCCCTGAATCTCCATTCACCCCTGCATACCACAGTCATGGACCTGTGCTCCACTGTCCGTTTGGTAATGTGCAAAACAGTTTATATTTCTCATCTAAATCTCTCCCCCGTGGCTTCATTTTCTCTGAACCGAGGTCACCAGGAGCCGGAGAAGTAGACAGTGAGCAGGTCTGAGCTAAGAGCACTTCCCTGGTGTAGTTACAGTAGGATGCTGTGCAAACCACGAGCACCCACTGCAGTTACAGCATCTAGAGTGACGGAGCCCAATCTGATTGACATGCACGGTGTCTAGGTACCAGCGATGCCTGCTCGGAGCAGGGGCTGTGAGGTAGGTTGGAAATATGCAATATTCTCCCATGGAAATCTGAGAAGCAACCTCCTGTGACTGTATCTCCCTGGGCCCAAGCAGGGGCTGCAGATACCATGTGGTGTACAGCCCCATCAACTCCCTTACAAGTCAACTTGCTCTTGGAAACAATCCTGTGTGTGTGCGTCTTGATTTTTAATTTTCCCCAGGATTTCATTCCCTCCCTGAAGAAATCCAGTGCATGCTCAGTGCACCCATCCATCGTACTGAAGTCCCCCAAAAACAGCAGTTTAGTGGTACATGTGCCTTGTACCACTTTTGTGAATGTGTCTAACTCTTTCATGCTGAAAGGATTTGGGGTTAGGGAGAGAGGAGGAGGGGAATCTCATTGAAAAGAAACCCAGAGCAGTGGCTTGAATGAGTAAGTATAAAAGAGGAAATAGTCTGAGGAAAGCAAGTATTTACCTTCTTGATGTGCAGTCAGCCTGCTGGAAGAAACTCATTGCAGGGTGAGAGATGCAGAGATCAGTCCCACAAGGTGGAAAAGGGAGACCCAAGTAAAGCAACTCCTACCACAACCTCTCCGAGATGAAACAATACCCCATCTTCTGCCCCTTCCCCTCTCCAAAGGGTCCATGCCCCTATTCCTTCTTGCATGGATCGGAGAGAGGGTATGTGTGGCTCCCTGTTACCTTGCTAATGGCATTCAATGCATCTGCCGTGTTGGGTGACGAGAGCATTGTGGACTTTTCTGTTGCTGCCTCTGCAGCCGTCCCAACCAAGAGCCAGACCTCTCTCCAGCAGCGCCGCTTGCAAAGCCCCAGGCTGGCCCTGCCTGCCACGGTGTTGGTGGCATGGGGAGGAAAAGGAATTGCTTGGTTTTCAGGGTGAAAATAAATGTTATGCTAGAAGAAGAAATGAACCCCTAGTTCAGGCGGGCTGAAAAGTCTGAGAAGCAAACTCCCCTGGACCGCGCACCTGGGCTGATCTGTCCTGCAGGCTGGGCAGCAGGGGCAGCGTGATGGTATCTGTGGCTCAACAAGTGACGTGTTTCGGTCCCAGGGAAACCCCGGAGCTGGTATTGAGTGTAGCAGTTGTGCCGATCACGTGGTGAGAGTGAAATCAGTGCCAGAGCCACTGCCGCTGAACCGGGCTGGGACTCCTGACTGCCGTGTGGAAGCATCATAGATGAGGAGCTTTGGAGCTTGTCCAGGTTTCTGCTGGTACCAGTGTAAGAGCTGATAGGTACTCCCAGAGCTACTATAAGTAAGGCTGGAGCTGGCTTTGCACTTGATGGTCACTCGATCTCCTGGAGACACCGCCAGGGACTCTGGGGTCTGAGTCAGCACAATCTGCCCGGAGGAACCTAGAAGTAAAAAGAAAAAAAACCACAAAACCCCCATAAGTTCAATTAACATAGTGCCTCCTGCAAGCCAAATAACCCGTCTGATTAGACAATCTGGATGCTCTAGCAATGTTCCTTGTGCGCATTATTACAGAATGAACTGAGTTTGTGTCCTGGCTGAAATGCTAACACGCAGCCAGAAGTGCTTCTTTGCTTGCAGCCCTTTCTTCATTGCTCATCTAGGTTACAGCCTCAGCCCCTAGAAATCCCCAGAAAAACTTCTGGTCGCTCCAATGGGCTTTGGATCCTGGTATTGGGGATTAAGTAAGTTTTTTGTCTCGGTTGCAGTCCCTACCTGCCAAGGCAGAGCATTTGTTGGAGCATTTTCAAGCATCAGAGAAAGCGAATTCCTTGGGCTTTTTGTTTCTGGAAAAAGGATGGTTTTGCTATAATGACACAACTTCCCTCTGCGTTTGCTGCTTACCCTGGACCCAGAGCACCACGAGGCAGAGCAGGGGAGCCAGTGAGACCATCTTGGTACGTCTGCCTGGCTTGCACCGATCACCATTTGGTACAAACTGGCCTGGATCACTTATACTGGTGCCGAGCATGAGGAGGGCGTTGACTGGGTGTAAAACATGCAAATTTGGCTCAGAGATGATTTGCAAGTGATCTAAAAATAAGCTGTGAAAGGCATGTGGTGTTGAAGGGGGCAGACACAGCGGGTTCACGGAGCTGCTTCACTTTGTGCTGAGCTGGTATTGTCACAAGTGGGTGGGAAGAGGATATTCAATAATACTTATATTGGTGCCAGCTTGTTTAATTCGTAGTGGATATTATCCTGCTGGATGCACTGTCACTGATGTGATCTTCCTATGTTAGGGGAGCCATAGGAGAAATGAATTCCTCCCTTCCTGCTCCTTTTCCTCATCTTGGAAATTTGTGTAATATAAAGCAAAGCAGAAGATCCAGAACTTTACCCTTCTAGAGGATTTTCCAGGACATTAAGTATTTTTCACCAGGAAGATTTTCTCATTGTTAATGTTTACATCTCCCAGGAGAAAAAGCATGGCAAGTGAGATCTGTTTTAGAGTATAGTTTTCAATTATTTTTCTGGGAATCATGAATGGTCTGATTAAAAGGGCAAGAAGTATTTTCCCAGAAAATTTTTTATTCCAACCCATAATGAAAGAGTCATGAATATGACTATTAATTCTGAAGTCTAGTCACTAATCCATGATGTACTGGAGTTGTATAATTTCCCAGTCACCTCGGTATGAACCTATAACCTGAGCAGCGTGCCTTTTCCACAGCTGCTCTAAAGCTCACCCTGTCCACAAGGCCTATGATAGGGAGGGAATGGGAATAGAAGTATGCCAGACTCTCAAGCTTGCCCCCCACCAAATTTTTGAGAATTTTGTTTCTCAAAAGACAGTGAACTGAAGTGAGTAAAATAATAATTGAAATTAATATGTGTGTGAATAAAGCAGAAGTAGGAGCTCTCAAAATGTATTTCACAAAGTATGATTTCAGCCTGGAATTCAAATAGATTTCAGCTATTTGCTGCTTCCCAGCTGGGAGGTGGGTCCCCCCTACCAGGGCTGAATGCTCCCCCAAGCTCCTCTCACAGGCCTGGCCTGCGCACCCCACCAGGAATACATGACAAGAAATCCAAAACTGCCCTTGCGAAGGTTGCCAGACAGAGTCTGCCTTGTATGGAAGGAAGTGTCTTAAGTAAGAGCATTTCCCCTCCTCTTGAATGCAGGACATTTTTCATTTGCAGTAAAGGAAACTGAGGTTGGGGATTAGGAGCAACTTCAAAACGCTGCGGGTGGTTAAGTATTGGAACAGCTTGTCTAGAGAGGTTGTGGTATCTCCATGCTGGGAAGGTGTGTAGGGCAGGTTTGATAAACACTTGGATGAGATGGTTTAGACAGAGATGATCATGTCCTGAGCCAGAGGATTGGAGAAAATTACTGACCGAGGCCGCTGTATGTGTGCTGCTGCTCAGCATGGTCCTGAGAGTCCTGTTAGGTGCCTGGCTGGTGGGTCTTGCTCAAACACTGTGGGCCAACCTGACTGCCAGTTTAGGGGTCAGGAGAATGATTTCTCCTTCTCAGGATTGTTATGGGGTATTTGCCTGCACATGTAATGAGGTAAGATCCAATTTCTAGGCTCTTCTGAGAGCAGTTTTGGTGACAGTGCATGCACGTGGGCCAAACAGTCTCTGCATGGTGTAGCGGATGGTGGTATGTTTAATGATCTGGACAGTGTAGTAGCCCTACTTAAGATTGTGCTGCTCCCCCCGGCCAGGGAAGGGGCCTGAAAAACTACCCTGAAATATTGAGGGTTCAATGTAAATAATGGAAACTTATGTGACAGACATCTGTCCTTCGCCTTGTGTGCTCAGACACAAGCCTAGCCCTCAGAGGAAAGGCTTGTATCTCCCTTTAGACTGAAAGTAGCCTTGCCTAGTTCAAAACTAAGGGAAGCAGATGAGTGAATACCAGTTGTTGTCACTGGCCCTGGCAGTAATGACATCCAGCACCTCAAATGTTAGCACCATTGATCCTTAAGGAAGTTTTCATACTGATAACACTTTTTTTTCAGCTGCTTATTTATGTCAGAGCAGGTACAAACTGACTGAAAGACTGTCATCCGCTTCAGTGGGTTTGTATCAGGGCCAAATATCAGAACAAGGTCTTTCTTCTTTAGTGATAAGATAGCCAGCGGTCAGTGGAAACTGTACAGATACTTTGTTATTTGGCAGGTGTTGGCGCTTCCTTTATGACCCAGACACCTTGTTCCAGGCAGACTCGAACCCTCAGACTGGCCACGATCTCTCCGTTCAGTAATAGGCAAAGGTTATTGATGCACAGTGAGAGCAGATAATAATAATTCTCCATCTACCAGCCCTACAGCTGTCATCATAATCAAGGTAGATCTGGCCAGTACGTGAGCGTCACCCTGAGGTTTCTTCTTGAATGTCAGATGTGAGCAGCCTGGAGGTTGAAGGCCGAGGTGTCCCTTCCCGCTCCCCACCCCAAATGGGGTGGGTGAGACAGGCTAGTGATATGTCCTCTGTCCATGGTGGCCTTGGGTTCCCCCCTCAGGACCCTTTGCTGCTCTGAAACCCCTCCTTTTGTATCCTTGGCCTCCTCTGATGATTCTTTATTCTCAGGCATTGTTGCTTGTTTTCATTGTGGTCTTTATACTGTCCACATAGTCCTGTTAACACATTCCTTTATTTGTACAAACCCATCACATGAACTCATCTTCATTTGATCTGTTTACCAAAAAAAGAAATCCCAAGGGCTCTGCAGCTGGACAGCGTGAAGTGATGCCAATGCTGCAGAGTCCCTTAGCTCTGTTATCGAACAGTGTGGTCCATCTCTTCAGTTTCCCAGTTGTGTGTCTGCTGCCTTCAGACACCCTGGGTGTGGAAGGAGACTTTGTTACAAGCGGAGTTTTATAAAGTAATTAACCCTGGCCTTTCCCCTGGACCATTGTTCTAGTGCAATGTCTACTTCACCTACAAGCCAGTTACCAAAAGCAAACCTCTAAATGCCATTTTCTAGCCATCAGTAGGCAGAGGTCAAAGAGGTCATATAGTTGCTTACGTGGGATCCAGAGAAGGAACAACAGGATGATCTGAGCTCCAGAGATCATCCTGATGCATCTGACTGGCCAGATCTGATCCACAGGCTGTAACAAGCATCACAGAATATTTCCTCCAGTGCAGAGCAGCAAAGGAGCATCATTCAGGACTGAAAGACTTGGTTAGATATGAAATTTCCCATTGGATCCCAAGAGGTTCAGAGTAGAATGGGCGCGTGCCCGGGTATAAGAGGACAGGTTCAACCCAAGTCTATCTAACAAATCAACTGAGGAGGCTGTGTTAGAAGGTGGTTTGTACTTGCTACCACTGCTTGTTTCTACTGTGGAAGTGCCAAACACACTCCATTAGGATTTGGGCCTCAACATGGTAGGTGCTGCACAAAAACATAGAAGCACCCAGTCCTTATTCTTTGCAGTGCATTGAAATGGCATTTCTTAGCACCGAGTGAGCTAAGGAGGGATCTGTGTCTAGGTATAAAGGGAATTAAATGTTCTCAGCTGAGTACCAATGCCCAAATACGAGGGCTATGTGAAACGGCACTGTTCCATTTCACCTTGAGTTTCAACGGTTCGACAGAACAGCGTTCCCTTTTCAATTTCATTTCAGTTTGAAACAGCTGTTCCGTTCCAAGTCGTTGAAACTGAAAGGCTATTTTGATGCTGTTTCACTGGGGGTGGGGAGTCAATCCAGTTAGGTTGACTCCCCATCCCCAGCACTAGATTGGGTGGGTGGGGTGGACAGTCAGCCCAGCTGGGCTCGCTCCCTCCACCTGAGCTGCAATCGAGCTGGGGTCGGAGACTCATCCAGTTCCTGCTGGCTTCAAAACTGAAACGTTTTGAAACTTTTGAAATGTTCTGACTAGCCTCATTTTGTTTTGAGGCTGTTTCAAAGCACTTCACTTCGATTCAATTTCACTTTTTCGATCTCAAAATTAGTCAAAACAGTGCCGAATTGAAACAGCTGGAGAAATTTTGCATAGCCCTACTGAATACAACCTTGCATTTAATTAGAGTAGTTTTTGTGTGGCTAATACTGTGCCTTTCCTTCCTAGGGGAACACTGCAACGGGAAATTCTAACTCTGGGCTTGTGGCTTTTTTTGCTGCTGCTTTGAGTTGACATCTAAGGCAATCTATTATTGCATCTTAGCCAACCTGTTTAATGCAGTTGGGCAGACTTCAACCTGTATCTTTCAGTGGTTCCTAGTGCCTCATACAAGAAGGGCAATGATTTCTGAGCCTGGGGGTCAATAAAGGACAGTCTAAAGTCCATCTTTAAGCTTCAAGAATGAGTAGCTTGATTTTTTTCTCTGCACTGAGCAGCTCCCAAAGGAAAGTCTTATGGTGCCATCTCATGGCACAGAGCAGCAAGTTGATCTTCCTGTTTACAGAAGATTTAGAGCTGACCGGGCTGCTATTCAAACTAGATCAAACTTGGTTGAACTCTTACTGTATTTTTCATTTGCTGTGCCAATATTTCTGCACTGCTTGGTTCTCTACCTCGCACCACTTTTCCCTGTTGCTCTTTCCTGCTTAAATTGTGAACAGGAATTTTTCTTGCAACCATTCTGATTTTTTATTTTTTTTTATATATTTTCTAGAAAAAACATTACTGAGGTCATATATTTTCATTTATTCTGAATTGTATCTAAGCATGAGTATAAGGGAGTCTGCTGTGCAGTCTTCTGGGGAAGTGCAGTTGTAGGACTTTTACCGGGAAGCAGATGTGGCTTTGGTTTCTCTGGTCGTTAGCTAGGGGTTTATGGATCTCTCCCTTTGTTTTGCTATCTGACACTAAAGCCCTAAATCTCCATTCACCCCTGTGTACCACATGGTTGACCTTCGCTCCACTGTCCATTTGGTAATATGCAAGATGGTTTACATTTCTTTATCTTTATCTCTTCACTGTGATTCATT